CTCTCTGAAATTAATATAGCCACTCTCGCTTCTTTTGATCAGTGTTATAGCATGGTATATCTTTTTCCTTCCCTCTACTTGTAGTTCTAAATGTATTTTTAAAGGGGATTTCTTGTGGACAGTGTACAGTATGGTCTTGTTTTTTTCCACTGTGACAGTCTTGGTATTTTAATTGGTGTACTTAGACCATTGATATTAAAGTGATTATTGGATTAATATCTGCTGTATTTGTTACTATTTTCTATTCATTGCCCTTGTTCTTTTACTTTTTTAAGAGATTACCCTAGAGTTTGCAGGACACATTTATAACTAATCCAGTTCACTTACAAGTAAGCTTGTAATCTAATATGTAAGTATAATCTAATACGTTGTTGCTAATACTCTGAAAAGTGTTACCAGTTCTATTAAGAATAATAAAAATAGAAGTTTTTGTTTTATCTTCATTGATTCCATCTCTAATGATCTTTCTGTAAATTTGAGTGTCTCAGCTATATCATTTTTCTTCTCTCTGAAGAACTTTTCACATTTATTATAGTGCAGGTCTCCTGGTAACAAATTCTCTCACCTTTTGCTTGTTTGAGCAAGTCTTCTCCTTCTCTCTTGAAGGATAGCAGCAGAATACAAAATTCTAGGTTTTTAATTTTCTCTCAACACTTCAGGTATCTCAGTCCGCTCTCCATGTGCGTGCTTTTTGAGGAGACGTTGGATGTAATTTTTGCTCTGTTCCTCTGTACATAAGGTGTTTTTCCTCTGGTTCTGTCAGGAGTTTTTCTTTGTCCTTATATGTGGTTTGGGGGCGTTTATCCTGTTTGGCATTCTCTGAACTTCCTGGATCTCTGGTTTAGTGTCTAACTTCAGTTTGGGGAAATTGTCAGTCATTATTGCTTCAGATACTTGTTCTGTTTGTCTCCTTCTTTGCTTCCTGGCATTCCCATTGTACATGTTACTACTTTCTAGTTGTCCCATGGTCCTTAGATACTCTGATTTTTTCCCGTCTTTGTCTTTTTTCTCTTTGTTTTTCAGGTTTGGAGGTTTCTGTTGGCATGTCCTGAAGCTCAGAGATTCTTCCTCAGCAGCCTCTGGTGACTGCTGGATTAATGTCGGCCGGTTTCTTACTGTTTCCTGTTCCTTGCCCTGTGCTTTCTTCCTTTTTTCTTTTCCACTTTTCCCTGCTTTTTTGTGGTTTTAATCAAGCACTTTCCATGATTCCATTTTCTCCATGATGGGTCCCCCAGACACATTCTTCATTTCCTTTATGGTGTTTTGATCTCCGCTGTGTCTTTTTAATTTTTTTCTGATAATTTCCACCTCTCTGTTTACATTACTCCTCTTTTCTCACATGTTGTCTACCTTTTTTCACTAGAGCTCCTAGCTTATTACTGATAGTTACTTAAAATTCTTGGTCTGATAATTCCACTATTCCTGTCAGATATATCTAAGTCTAGTTTGGATACTTGCTGTCTCATCAAACCATGTTGTTTGCTTTTTAATGTGCTGTATAATTTTTTGCCTAAGACATGATGTGCCAGGTAGAAGGACCTCTGTGAGCCGTCCGTGAAGTGACGATGGTGCGTGGGGGCAGTGCACGTCCTGTAGTGCTGAGATTCGGTCTCACGCTCTCCTGAGTCTGGGCCACAGGCTGACCTCCTCCCTCTGTGGGACCGGACGGCAGGCACCTGCACTTTGAGTTCCTCTTCCCTCAGTCCAGCTGGGCTGAGACAAACCCCAGAGGTTAAGCTTTCGAGGGTAGGCCTTGTTGAGAACTGAATACTTTGTTGTATTTCTAAAAGGGTACTTTTCCCCTCCCTCTACTGGAAGCAGGAGGGGATTTTTGTCTGATCTTCCCTGAGAACCTGGCAGCGCTCCTGGAGGTGAAACCTGCCAAAGCATGGCTGTCCTGCGTCCCCGCAGCACGACTGGTGGCCGGAGGCTTTGTCCTGGCCTTCTCCACACTGAGGCCTCAGCCGCTGGGTGGTTGCTGTTCAGGCTTTCCTGCCCTGCTTCCTGCAGACACTTCTGCCCACTGAGCTGTGCTCGTCCGCATCTGCAGGTCAGTCTCTGGTTTGGGGAGCGGCTGTTTGCCCGGTGACTTCACGTCTCTGACCGATCAAAGGAGAGTTGTTGATTCTTCATCGAGTTCGGCTTTTTGCTTGTTAGGGTGTGGCACCAGCAACAGCGTGTTCCCTTTCCGTGGTGTTCGGCTTTCGGGAGCTCTTGGCTTTCTCCCTCTTTGCAGCCTCTTGCTCCCTGTTCTCTCGGTTTCCTTGCGGACACCCGTTCTTTCACTTCATCCCCGTGTGGCTCTGGGATCGTTTCATAGCCAGTTTGCTGCTCGTCTGACGGCACTCCTGCCACGGAGGGGTTGTTTCTTGAGTGGTCAGTAGAACATGGTTTCCGCCAGGGTCCTCCTGCAGCTGGGGAAGTGAACTTCATGGGGACATGTGGTGACTTGTGGGCCTGAGCTTTGCCTGGCATGCAGGGATGGGGCAGCCCAGATGCTGAGTCAGCTGCCCTGCCCTGGTGTCCTCCGCGTGGGAGGGGAGGGCGTGCTGATGCCTGGAGCAGGCCCAGCAGACCCTGAGCGAGTCCTTCATGTCTGTGTACACGTCTCTCCTCATCCTTCCAGCCCAGGCCTCGCCATGTTCCGTGGTGCTTCAGGATGCTCCGCTCTCCTTCCAGGCTGTGTTCTCCCGTCGTCCCTGAGTCACCTGCATGTTTGTGTGTGGGCACCCGGGCGGGGTAGAGCGAGGATGGCCCTGCACTGTCACCTGGGGACAGTGATGGATCGTCCAGCTCTCTCCCTGTTAACTTTACCATCGTGAGTGTAACAATAGTAAGGAAGTGTGTGTTTAAATCGCATACTTTCACGTAAGGCCAAGGAGAGAGAAATCTGGATAACCTGCAAGCCTCCAGCCTGGGGAACCACCATACCGAGTTTGTGGTTGGAGGTTCTTTGTCTATTTTTGCTGCTCAATGTGAATTTTGATCATTGTAATAAGTACTTGTGTTTGCTGCATTCCACGGATTGTTTCCATTTTTTCTTCAAGATCACGTTTCATTGTGATTTTGTCTTTGGACTATGGACTTTTAGAAGATTGTTGTTTAATTTTCAAAAACACAGGTATTTCTAGATATTATTTATTTCTGGTTTAATTCTCTTGTGGCTTCAGGTTGTTTTAAGTGCATGGAGGGTTTGTGTTCTGAGGAGCAGATGGTGTGTCTAGGTGAACGTCTCATGTGAACCTGGGAAAAAGTGCGGGTTGGCTGTTTGTGGAGTTTGGGTCTTCTGTGTCTGTACCGATGTTCTACTTGCATGTTATGTCAGTTACTGAGAGAGGAGTTCACGTCAGGATTGTGGGTGATTCTTCCTGCCAGCGCCGTCCGGTTTTGCTTTGTGTCCTTCAGTGTTCTGGGACCAGGTCCACACGGTCGGCCTGGGGTTAAACGTGGGGACTTCTTGGTTCATTGGCTCTTACCATTTTGAAATATTGTCTTGATCCTCGATAACTTTGCCCTGAAGTTAACTTGTGTGGTGTTAGCCACTGTCCCATCCCTCTGTCTTGTCTCTGAATTGGTGCGTGTGGCGTGTTCATGTTTGCTGGGATTCTCCGTTTCGTTGGGCTGGAAGCTGCTTGGGCTGAATGTGTGCTGAGTGCACGGGTTCACCCACCGTCTTCCGTCCTGGCTCTGTGGTTTCTGACAATGAATCTGGAGTCAGTATTGCCTTTGTTTCCCTACATTTGATGCGTCTTTCATTGTCCGGCTGTTTTAAAAGTATTTTATTGGTTGCTGGTTTTCAGAAACGTGATTAGGACATGCCCTGATGTGGTTGTCTTTGGTGTCGGTGAGCTCACTGGCCATGTGCTTGCGCACTTACCTGCCGTTGCTCCTTCCAGAGTTGTTTCTTCTTTCCCACGCCGTCCTCTCTGTCGTGGGTGCGGTTTACAGTGCATCAGGCCACCAAGGCCGTTCCCGTCCCCGCTGTTCCCCGCCACTGGGGTCAGCGTCACTGGTCTTGTGTCTGTGGGGTCTGGTCCGCGGTTCACCACATCCCACTCTTCATTTCAGATCCTGTGTTTCTCACCAGTTTCATTCCTGTCCTTTCTTCACTTTTTTTTGTTTTTTGTTTTAAGTATTGTTTGTGTCTTCCTTTAACTATTTGAGCATATTTATTACAGCACTTTTAACATCTTTGCCTGTTACTTAACGTTGTTTTGTTATAGCCCACGGGGGTGTGGGGTCCAGTCTGCCGCTCCGCGTTGGGAATGTGGCACGTCAGGACCCCGTTGCTGCCTTCTGGGTTTGTTCTGGTCTTCAGATGCCGGGATGGGCTGTAGCAGCTTTTATTCCTGGGGCTCCTTCAGCCTTCCTGCTGAGGGGCCACCTCTTTGTGGTTTTTACCTCACGGGTTCGAAGAGGTGGCTCACTGGACTTTGAGCACCATTCATGTCTTTCCACCCCCAGATGTTTGGAGGCCCCCGGCCCCCGTCTCCTGCCAGCCCTGGTCTGGCTCTCAGCCTGGCGCACCCACCGGGTTCTTCTGGTTTCCCTTCTTCTCTGGGCGTCCACATGTTGCCCTCGGAACACAGTCTGCGTCACGGTGGCGTCGCCGTAGTCCTGCCCCACCCGTCATCCCGATGCCTGGACCCAGGTGTCTCCCGCCTGCGGTGCTCTGATTGCTGGGGGCAGGCCACAGCTGCTGTAACGTCGTACTTTACGGCCAGATCGTCGCTCACTTCTCTGGTTTCTGTCCATGTGATTTTGGGCGTTTTTTTATGACTCATCTGGGGAGATGAGCTGTTGGCCCTGTCACTTTATCTTCCCGAACTCCTTTTATCTCCTTTTTAAAAATTAGATAAACAAAGGGCTTTCTACATGTTGGCTGTTTTTGGTTTATTTTCATTCATGCTTTATTTAGCAGTTTTTCAGAAGTTAATTTTTCCAAGTTCTGAAGTATTTTCTATCCAGTTTTTATTGACTTATATTCACTTCTCTTTTAGGCCATGCTGGTGTGTCTGCAAGCATGATGAAGAAAAGGACTTCCCACAAGTAAGCACCTCTGAAACTTGCTTTTAGATAGCAGGTTGTGGCTGTACGTGATGTGGGGTCTGAGATGCAGTGTGACGCCCTCTCCCCCGGGTTCTGGAGGTCTTGCCTCGCTGCATGTTGAGTACAGACCTGCAGCCGTGTCCCTTGTCCTTGGCCTGGCCTATGGCTGCCTAGGCCTGGCCTACGGCTGCCTAGGCCTGTCCTTCCACCTCTTAAAGCCTCTGGGCCCTGATTTCCCCTCCAGCTCAAAGGGGCTGGACTGAATGGCAGGGAGTGTCCGTTGTGGCGAGGGTGGCAGGTGCGTGGTGAACCTCTCTTGCTTCTCTCCTTGGAAGGGCTGCACGCCCTTGGCTTGCAGGTTCTTGTCTCCGATCTGCTGCTGGACAAGGAGCTCTTTGTGGACAGAGGCCTTCGGTCATGCTTGAGGGCCTGGCTAGCATGCTGACAGGTGCTCGCTCACTGCTTTATAACATTTTCAAATAAATGAAAAGCTTGTAATTTAGGGAACACATATACATGTTGGAAGATAATTAAAAAGCCGTGTATTTTAAGTGACCAGTAGGTTATAAATCCTAAATTCTGTAGGTACCAGAGTAAAGAAGACACTTTTTCTCTCTTAAATCTTTGTGTATGACGTAGTTACATTTAAAAAGAAAATTGAGATACTATCTTGAATGATAATACTGTGCTTGTACTGAATTACATTTAATAGATTTCACAAGTACCCACTAGGTTCTGCTCGCGCTACACTACCGGAAATCAGTCTAACGAACCAGTTCTGATTGTTTGGAGTCTTAATTGTAGACTTATTAACTCTGGAAGACACCCTTTGACCCCAGCTAGCACCTTCCAAGCCTCTTGTTATAGCCGTTCTTTCTAAATTTTTCCTACTGAAAGGCTCGTAAGTGCCCCTGCCACCACCCTGTGGGGTTGAAGAGCATAAGATCCCCATTCGTAATGGTTGGTGGTTGGTGCACACGTGCCTCCTGTTTCAGAGCACATGTGGACATATAACGTAAATATTTATAATGGGTAGTTTAAGAAATGACCTGGAATAGAAAGGTGTGACGTTGAGGTGAGTATGTGTGTCCCTGAGGTTTGATAAAGCATTTCCCAGATTCCGTGGATTTGCGCATTACTAACCTTCATGCTTCTGCCATATCCAGGGACCTGGTCATTCATGTACTGTCTCTCCCTCATTATCATACCACAGCATTACCGTAAATGGTAAACCATGTCTTGGCCCAAGTGGAAGGTAACCAAACAAATACAAGCGTTAAATATTAGGTGATGATAGAAATGTAACTATAGTGGGGAAGAGAAGCAAGGCACACTTTAACTTTGCAAGACCAGAACAGTTCATGCAAAATAGATTTTGCCATAATCTGTGTTAAAATAAATGGCTTTAAGAATGTAATGTGCATTCAGTTTCATCCATTTTTACCCATTGCCGGGTGTCTAGGACTAGAACTTTCTTGACTCAGGATTGTGGGCATTGTTGGGTTTGTGCAAGGATTTCACGAGCCTCGTCTGAAGCACGATCACCTGTTAACTCCTGGCTCTGAGGTGCTGGTTATTTCTCCCCCCAGAGCACAAGGAATAAACACCTGCCTTTAAAACTTTGCTGTTCATATGTGTGCCAGCTGAAGGCATCTGACCCCTGGGCTCTGCCGTGCAGGGAGCTTGACCTAGTGCTTATTTCTGTTGAAAGTAGAGGGCCGTGACGGAGTTACTCTGTAGCAGAGGGAGCTGGGAAGAAAGAGGCTGTCGCTCCCACTCGCCTGTGTCTTCTCACCTCTGTGCACCTCTGAAGATGGTTGGAAACAAAGACCCATGATGCACAGGTCTGCACCGTTCACCATGGGTGGTGGTTGCTGGCTGCCTCTGGAGCGGCCCCTGCCCAGGAGCTGGTGCGAAGCAGGAAGCTGGATGGCTCAGCTGGGCGCCTTGGCACGTTCCTCCATCTGCCTGGCACTGTGCTTACCAGGCCTAAAAATCCTGATGTAGACCAGGACAGTTCCTCTCCACAGGTGACATGTTTATGGAAACCACGTGGAAAAGCAGACCTGGAGCCTCAGTCTGCCCTCACCTGCCTCCACTGTGGCCCCCCGGTGAGTGAGTCAGGCACGCAGGCCTGACCCACGCCTCAGTCCAGGGAGGCTGAGCAGGAACGCCACATGTGGACACCTCTGCTTGCTGGAGGGAGTACCAGGCACACCCAGGAGATGCGTGCTGGCAGAGCCACCGTCCCCGCGGAGACTGGCAGGACTCGGGGACTCGGGTCTGCCGTGTTGGAGCACCGTGGCACCCAGAAGTTGTGTAGCCGTGGCTTTTTTCTGCTTTTACAGTAAATGGAACAAGCTTACATGCCCTCTGCCATCCGGTGCCTTCATTGCATTTTGGGAACAAGTTGGTGACCGGCGTGTCCTGGCGTCTCAGGAGGTGGTTTGGGAAATGCCTCGCAGTGGCAGCCTGGGCTGCGCGGGTCCACACGACCTGCATTTCTTTCTGTAAACACGGGACTGCACTGTGTGGGTGTTTTTTCCTCCTTATGATTGTGTTCATAGCACTCTTTTCTCCAGCATGCTGGATTATCAGAATGCCATATGGAATACGTGTAACATACAAAATAGGGGTTAGCTGACTGTTTCAGGTTATCAGTAAGGCTTGTGGTCAAGCTATTAAATTTTGAAGTCAGAAGGTACACCCAGATTTTAAACTGCGTGGGGGGTCAGTGCCCCAGTCCCTGCTTTGTTCAAATCACAGGGTCAGCTGTGATTTTTGAAGGGAAGGTATAGTTGGGGGACGTCTAAGGTGAGTTTAGCTATAGTGGTTGTTTCAGTTTTCAAACGGAAATCTGGTTCTTTTTCTTCCCTAATTTGAATAGTGGATGCATTTCCGTTTCCAGGGTTTTGGTGTATCTCCCACTAACGCACATTTAGAGAATGGACCAGGGCTATTACACACTAAGTAGAGATATTTCCAGGGAGGGCTTTTCCATTTGTTAAGACATAAGTCACTGATGGCGACAAGGACAGAGATGCCGCCGCCTCCTCTTCGTCAAGTCCCTGTGTGGCCTCCCTGTCAAGGAGGAACCCTGAGCCCTTTTATGCAGAGGCTAACGAGCTAGTCCGGGCTCCTACACAGAGGAGTGACTCGAGTGAGGGCTCGCAGATAGATCGGCAGGACTCTGTAGAGCATGCAGCGGCCACACCGTGTGTCCACAGGGAACGTGTTCTAGTCTCCCGTCTGCAGAGTGGGTGCTGTCCGTGGTAAACACACAGACTAGGTGAGCAGCGGAGCCTGGTGCTGACTGCCTTAAACTGATCAAAACCTGGACGACTTCTTAATCAGCTTGTGAGGAACTGCTCTTCACACCAGTGAAGTGGGTAGCATTTTGGAAGGCCCTCGGCATTGGGAGGCTTCCGTGGACAACTCTTAGTGTGTAGACAGAGTAACGAGAGAACCCCTAGCGATTTGGGTGGAAGACAGACCCACTCCCTGTTGTTTTTATCTTGTCCCTGTTAAGCCAGTAATGGTAGTATGTGCTGTGGAACTTTTACTAAGCTGCACGTAGCAGAAAAGCAGTTTTTTCGTTCTTCTTGCTGGTGGGCATCTTGTAAAAAGACAGCCATTTTGATTTAATCCATATTTTCTGCTGAAATCTGCGGGAACACAGAGTAAGGGAACTGCTTTTCTAGGACAGGACTAAAGAGAATAAGGAAAGCATGTCAGTAATTAATGGATACAGCAACATACACAAGAGTGTGATAGGCATTTATTGGTTCATAGCAGAGTTGTGGTAGTTGAAATTTGATTGAAGAAGTGTGGTCCCTTTAACTTTTGGCTACCAAAATAAGCTACTCCAGTCCTGGGGGCTGTTTGGGGTGGTTCTCAGACATGGAGGGAGTCTGGGTAAACACTGGAAGGTCTTCCCACACAGAACTTCCTTTCTGGTCGACGGAACAAGTAGCGTGGTCAATTCAGAACTTACTTGAAGTATTGAAAGTGTTGAGCAAGGTACAGAAAGTCCCCTGCAGTCGAGCTCACCTTGTTGGGAACGTGGACGCATAGAAATTAGTGTTGGTTCTGAATCGTGCTCCCCAGGGGTGGTGCCTGGGGCAGAGTGCCCAGGAACCTGTTAGGTAAGGTCTGGTATCGTGGACTCTGGTCTGTGGGGCTGGCGTGGCCTTCCACATGTGCTCCGGGTGGCCGCCTGCCCGCGGTTCCTCCGAGGCTCATCGGGGAGCTAAGCGGGTCATGCTGTAGCAGTGAGAGCAGCTGCTGAGGGGCCGGCCCCCATTCACCCGCCCTTGAGGACACCCAGCAGCTCACTGGTCCCTGAAACCAGTGTGAGAGATGGCTTCTGGAGATAAGCAGCGAGCAAAGTGATCGTAGGTGTTCACCTCTGGTCTCTCTACTTTACCCTTGAATCCTTTGGATGGTGACTCAGGGTGGCCTTGTCCCTGCGCTCAGCTGCAATTCAGGCTACCTCCCCGGAGCCAAGTTTCTGGGCTTCTGTCTGCAGCTGTGTGGTGTGTCGGTCCAGCAAGTGGTTGTGGACAGCGCTGCAGACTCATTCCCAAGAATATATGGATTGAGAGCTGTTAAAAAACACATGTGTCCAGGGAGGACGTAAGTCAACATCACCACGTTTAGGAAGCCCTCATTTTAAATTAGAAAAGCTGTTTCCGTTGGTAACGTCCCATCTGCATGCTGTTCTTTGCACCACCCAGAGATGACCTGAGGGTGTGTCCCGATTCTGGACCTTCTCCGGGAATCGGACACGTTCCTCTTAGTTTGCTTTTATATGTACTGTTTCAGCTCGTGAAAATAAGCTTTTATTTTTATTACAGCTCTTGTTGATTTTTATCTAAATCAGCAATTAGCAATTAAAATAAGATTTAAGAACTTGTTTAGGATATAATTTTTAACCTTTCTAGTTGTGAGCAATTTTAAGATTTTTTAAAAAATTTTTATTTATTTGACAGCACAAGCAG